AATCTGGTTTTGGAAGTCTCTTCAAAATGGAAAGTATGAACAGGTTTTTCCTTTGCGTTTTGAATGATGTCTTTTTAATCTTTTTAATGATTTTTATTAGACTTCCATATATGTGGCTTCTAAGATAAACATGGTTAAAATATGATTGAATTACAGAATCCATACTCTGTTTCCAGTTCGAGTGCTTTGTTGGAGGCAGTTCGGTCTACTTGATTTAGCTGACTACTGAAATGGCAGCCGGTTTGGGAGCTCTGTGTTACAGCTTGTTTGCAGCATGCCCTGTTGTTCCCTTTCTTCCTAGCTCCATGCAGCCCTTCCTTAGCTTGTGGTGGATAGTTTCTTCCTTTACCTGCTTAAATTTGGACTTGAAGTTCCCTCTATCTGTGTGGCTAATATCTTTCCTCTGGTGGGAGCCCTTGTCTATACTGGACAGTGTGCTCTGGGCAAGAGTTCTTCCTTTGTCTTTCAAGCTCCTGTTTGGGAGAGGCAATGCCAGGTCTTCCCAGTCTCCTGCTCCTTAGGTATGAGGTACCTACTAGTTGTTTCTTGCAGTGCTCTCACATTTGGTAAAGCAGATAAAAAGGAGATATTCCAGGAGTTTTTGTCTTGGGCTCTAGCAATGTCTTCAGGCTGCTTTTGCTAGCATGGTTTACTCACTGCAGTCTGGGAATTGGATTGCAGGTGAGGGCTGGCAAACCTGCAGAAGGCAAAGAGTTGTTATCATGGGAACTTGTCAGTGGTCTTCTGTCACAGAACAGCTCAGTGAAGACAGTACTTATCTGCAGAGTTCATTATGAATCTTTCCTTTAGTAATATCAAAAAAAGCTTTATGGAATCGGATGTTCGTTAAAAATGGAAAAATGAACATAAGGCAAAAGGCAAGATCCTGATTTATTAAATTTTGTTGTAATTTTTAAAGAAAGTTGGTATCAATTCACTCAGATTTAGCAGCTGCTCAGAAAATGCCTGGTGTGTGCTGCTTTTCCACAAGTGCTGCAATCTAAACACAGATTTAAATCTTAGTAACATATATACTGTAAGGGTTCAATCTGTGCACCTGGTTTACTCATTGCCTGAACGTTAAGCAATAAACCAGTGGTTTCATTTTACATTCCTAATCTGAAGATTATGGATCTTAGACATTACGTTACGTATTTCCATATTAGAATACTTCATTTTAACAGTGGCGCTTTCTCAAGGCTGGTGAATTCAACTTGAACCATAAGGAAAATGACATGTTGTAGGATAATAGTGACATTACTTCTTGCAGACAGAACAGTTCAAGAATCTTGTGCTCGATAGCTTTCAAAGAGGTATATTGGAAGCTGGTGGAAGACTTTAGCCGCTCACATGAGGTGGCAAAAGATAAAGAGAACTCGTTATTTGCAGTACATTTGTGTGCAGAAGCTCAACTGGAATTGTGGTGTAAGTGCTATACTGACACATAATGCAAAAGGGTTCCTTCCTTGAAAAGTTTCGGGTGCCCCCTCTTGTAAGATGTGGGCTGTGTAAGCGATTGCGTGCTACAGTCACAGCGCATCGCTGTGGTCGGATGAATAGGTAGGAGACTGATGTTACGGAGTCACGTTATTGTGCTTTACACCTCTAATACCTCCTTCAGAACACAATTTGAGATTGTGGTGATGGGGTGTTTCGGGATGCTGAGTCAGAAAGGCTTCTTGTATGTTGCTCATTTTCCCCACAGGTGGATTTGTGATGTAGTTGCTTACTTTTCCTATTCGCTATCATTGGTTGGCAATATGAGAGTTGAGTGTTACCTGTAAAGTGAAGAATGCTGAAACTTGTTCGTTTCCTATTTTTCTCTTTAAAACAGAAAGTGAATTAACCAAAGGAAACCTCATCTACCCATCTCTGACATGTTGGACAAAAATCTTCCTTGGTTTTGAGTATGATGATAATGAAAACAATAAATGGCTTCCTTCTGCAGCAATGAGAATATTGAGCACATGGATGTCTGAGCAGCTGTTGAGCTACTACTGAAAACTTCTGTTAGTTGAAAACGGCCCCTCAGTCAATAGATGCCACTGTCTCTGTTGGGTTACTTGGAAGCAGTTTTTGCCAACTAAAGATTCTTTAGAAGTGTTTGCTAGTAATTTGCAGGAACTAATGAACTAACGTCATTTTTAGTGAACATTTTATTAAGGCATTTCCCAAATTAAGTAATAATTTATTTTCCTTGTGTTCCACAGCAGCAAACCTATGATACCAGGATAGATTCTAAATTTAGCATAAGTTGAGGCTTCTTGTGGGGCGTTTAGAAATTTGCATTAACTGAAATGGACTACTGTCTATTTAAGCACTGTTTTTATTCCCTCCTCCTCCTTGCTAGTTTCATGCAATGGATACACTGCATAAACACAACTATGATTTGAGCAGTGCCATCAGTGTTCTAGTGCCACTTGGAGGGCCTGTCTTGTGTAGAGATGAAATGGAAGAGTGGTCAGCATCAGAAGCTAGTTTATTTGAAGAGGCATTGGAGAAGTATGGCAAGGACTTCAATGACATTCGACAAGACTTTGTAAGTACAAAAGTAGTACGCTTTTCTGTTACTGTGTTTTTGCATGGGTGAGCATAACTGCTTTCTGTAGGTTAGGAAGATTAGCTAAAGGAGAAATTTGTGTAGCCAATATATGTAGTTAACATACATATACATTATACCTGTCTGAAAGTCAATTCTTTGGAAAGATGTTGACAGAAGATAATCTGTTCAGTGGTTTAAAACCAGGTAGGATGTCTCATGCCGATGTGTTTTGATAAGGATTTTTACAAGGATTTTACAAGCATCTGAAAAAAATCCAGCAATTTTTCAGAACTTTTCTACAGTTTCCAGTGAAATTCATTAGCAGCTATGTGGCTGACTCCCCTGAGTGTTTTTGGAAAACTGGGTTTTCCTTCTACGGTTAGGAGAGAGATTTGTATTCAGATAGCTTTTTAAGTGCACTACAGGGAGTTATTTTGACATATTAGGTATTTTGGCACTTCTGAAAAGTAAAGGAAATGTATTCCAATATGTTTTAACAACACTGGTTTTGGTACTGAAGTGTCAGACCATAGGGCAGCAAAGCTTTAATTTGAGTTCTAATGCAGAGTAATGAAATGAAATTGATTCTAACACTGATTGCTGGAATTGCTAGTAATTGATCTGCAAATTTTTTTGCACATTTCTTGGAGAGTCTCTTTCTTTCAATCAAAAAAGATTTCCTCTGTTGTACTAAGTTCAACTGGGGCTTTGTGAAAAAGATTTGAGCCAAAGGAATTCCATTATTTGAGACTGAAGTCGATTGAAATATTTTTGCAGCAATCTCATTCTGCTTGACTTTGAGAGCTCAGATTTTTTTCTTTGCAGAAGTTAATAATAATCTTTGTGAGGGAAAATGGTCCTATATGGTAAATGTGGAAGTCCTTCCAAGATAGAATGTGGAACAGTGGGAGGAGGCTTGGCACTGAGCTAAGCTGTCTTTCCTTCGCTTTCACAGTTCTGAAATGAAACAGATAATTGAATGAAGGTGGGAAGGGAAGGCTATTGTTTTTCTGAAGAACTGACATTTTAACAGGTGTATTGTATCTGTGTGCTTAATTTTGAGATTCCTAAGGGAGAAAATGTTCGCTGCATTCATCACATGAGGTTGAAAATTGCATCATGGATGAAATAGCTCTGTTAAGTTCAAGAAAATATGATTGAAAAAAATATTTTATAGAGCTTTAGAAGTGAAATCTTCATGTGAACTACAATTCCTTATTATTTCTTATACCATTAAATGGTCCTCAGCTGTAATAGTCCAGTAGTTCAGTCATGTCTTCTAACTCAGTGTTGTCCAGTGCATGATATTTAGCTTTTCAAAACGCCTAAAGCATGTAATACAGATTTTATTGGCTGTTTACAAGTTGAGTCCTAACACACTTTGCAACCAAGTGTACCTCAGCCTTGTCTCTGGTATTTATGTAGTATTTTTATTATCTGTATAATATCTGTGTTATGTAACCTGTAGTTCTGTTGATATGCATACATTGAAGGGATACAATGCAGTAATGTGTTGCAGGAATTGCTTATGCATTTGTAATGTTCAAATGCTAGATATTTGAGTGAGTCTGCTAGAAGCTGTTTAAAATTTTCAAATTTTATCTCGTGTAGATTCTTGCTACCCTCCCTCTTTCACTGAATCTTCCTTCCCAAAATGCAGGTATTTTCCCTTGCCCTCCTCCCAAAGGGAAAGATATGCGCAGATCTGAAGATAGGGTTGCTTAGCCTACTGAGGGCACATTAATGATGAGTCAGAGTGCGGCAGAAATGGGTGTGGGGCACTAATTAATTATAACCTCATTTAGTTAGGATAGACAACATCCCTGTTCTTAGTCACTTGGGGGTTTTTTAACCTTTGGAAAAGTAACATGTCATTTTTAAAACATCATTAGAAGAACATCCATTTTACATATCAATTTATATGGTATTGGTTAACTTAGTGCACATAGTCTTGATCTAATTCTATGTAAATTGAAATATTTCAATTATATTAATCATTGTGTAATCTTGGGATATCTTAATTTCTCTAGAGTAAAATTCATGTGTTCTTACTTGCTACGTAGCATTCTAAAAGCATAGGGATTTGAAAACAAACATTTGGTTTTGAGTGATCATTTAAAATAGTCCTTCAAGATTTAGATCATGGATATATGAAACTCTTCTGCAAGGTGAGGTAGGTATAAATATGTAGCACTTAAGCAGTGGTTTTCCATGATAGTACGTTTATCTATTATCATCCCTTTCTCCCGTGGCTGGTCATTCACAAGTACTGGTCCATGCTCTTACAACACATGTAAAAAGAAGCCGACGCGGGTAGCGTATGTGGGAACTTGTTCGAGTGTCCACACAGAATCTAATGATAAAATTAAATCCTGTGGTGCCTGAGATGAAACTCGAACCTAAACAGTCATGCGGTGGTGCCACAGCACAGGTAAGACTGTCGTGTTGCAAGGCAGGAGGTGGTGGGCAGCAGTCTCCTGAAGCAGAAGGGTGATGTAGTACCCGCTCGAGGCATGATCTGCCAGAGGAGTTGCCTCTTCTGAATTGGCCGGGATTTGCGAGGTGGGGCAGCTGCAATTGCAGCTCTTGCACGGTAGTTCTCTACAGGGCAGGTTCGTTTACTTTTCCAGCAGTTAGTGAGAACTGGCACTGTTTGACGTTCAATGGGCAGCTCAAGCATTAAGCTATAAACATTAAATATACAAGACAATTATTGTAAATTAAAAAAGGAGTTTACCTTTTTTTTAATAGACAGGAGCATTAAGCTATAAACATTAAGTAATAGTAAACAAGACAATTACTGTAAATTAAATTATGTAAAGGAGTTTACCATTTTTTTTTTTAGTAGATGGGAGACATTGTTTTTGAAATTACCACTCTAGCCTTTGAATAATCATTTTCATCAGCTGTTGAGTCATCAACTGTTATAGGAGCTCATTTGTTGAGGTTCTGCTGTCTTTAAGAACCTATGTGAATCCTAAGTTAATTGGATTCACTTGATGTACTTTAATTACTTCACATCTCAGGGTAGTAGAATGGAAGAAGACTGAATATTTTATGTTCTCCAAATATAACTATTTTCCTAATGGTAACAGACAGCTGTTATGCTTGTTAGTTCTTAGTTTTTCATTATCAATGGTTTTCACAAATTTATAGCTGTTGCATCTCAAATACGGCAGGAAAGGCCTTGGGAATCAGACTCAAACAGTTTATAGAAAACAGGAGCAACTGTTTTCCAACTTCAGAAGATTGTGGAAACATGCCCTAAAGTTAACATGTTTGCTTTAAGATGCTTTATAATCCCGAGTTTTTTCTTCTGATCTGATTTGAGAGGTCCATTTGTACCCTGAAGAAAGTAAAGAAACTGAAAATTCCCTCTCCCTGTTTTTGTACTGCTGATGCCTCTGCTAACTTTTTCGTACAAAACTGTCATGCAGATGGTCATTTTTATGTCTTTCAACTAGTGATTAATAGAATTTGGTAATGAGAGTACATTATTCTGTGGCTGTTCACAGCTCCTCTGCCAGTTCAGAGCAACCTCTGGAAAATGCACGTGCCTCTACAGTGTTTTGTCATTTAAGTGCATAGGTAAACAGAATAAAGGATATTCATACCCAGTCTGTCAAACAGGTTTTCTGAGTTGTGAATCAAAGTGTAAAAGGATTATGGTTATCCCATCCAAGCACCTTAATTATCTTTCTTTAATTGTTGATGCCTACTGAGTGAATTAACATACTGGTGTCACAATCACAGTTAAAAATATTTTCTAGAGAAATGGCAAACATAATGTGTAGCATGAATGTGTTAATAAGTGTTCAGGAAGGAAAACACATACAGAGATGCTAAAATGTACTCATTGATAATGACAGGTAGTTGGGGTAACAGTGTTTCATCTGGGTGCCAGAACGAATATGGACCTGGAGACTAAGCAGCAGCTCATCTTTCACCTCGCACTGAAAACGTTCCCTTTGCTGGCCTTTCCTTGGGCAGATTTCTCTTAAGGCATAATTTACCTGAGAAAAAAAGGATTTTAGTAAACCCAGTTGTGTTGCTGTTTATTGGAACATCAGCTTTATACATTTGTTACACTGCTGCTTTTTAATTAAATGCAAATGGACAGGGATTTGCACACTGTGGTACAATGCCTGAGAAAGAATTCACAGCTGAGTCTGGACCTGAATCCCAGCTCCTGAACGGCAGAAGGTGGGAGCCAGCCTCTTAAGTGTCTGCAAGCAGCGTGAAAAACTGGCTGTGAGCTTCTGCGTGCAGGGAGAGGCAGCTTGATAAGGCGTTCTTCTGTTGTTTTAGGAACTTAATTAAAGTTTCAGGAACCTATTATTTTGGCTTAAGACATGCAGAAAGCCCTAAAGTGGAGTGAGTAAGTTTGGAAACATAAGTTTCCACACCTGTATTTTTTGGGACTTCCTAAAAATCATATTCATTTCTGGAAAGCAGAGAATTTTAGCATTAAGGCATTCCTCTAGAAGATACCATGCACAAAATAGTAGCACGTTTCCAGGTTATGAAGAAAAATTGCATGAATTTTGTAAGAAAAGTGCTAATTTAAATTACAGAAAGAACTTAGGGAGTTAGATTATTAGGTAGTAGTTAAAAATGGCTGCTGTAGGCTTAATTTTCTCCCCTAAACTTAGGTGAATACATTTTTATCAAATGAACCTGTGCACCCAAAATAATCATCATCATCTATTGCCCTGAGTTTGCATAGAGATTTTTGTGAAATATTCATTGTCAGTATCACTCTTGTTGCTCAAGGTAGAATTTGTCCTTAGTATCCTTTTGTTTCTTGTTTAATGGTCAAGAGTATGTGGAAGCTTATGAGAAACCAGTGGTATTGTATGAGCGGCTGAGTTGTTGCGGGACTTGAAAAATGAATGAACTAAGAAGTGCAGTAACCGTTGCATTTTTTTAGGACTCAAATTGTCATGAGACTCAAACACAGTCTTGTCAAGATGATTTATTTTAGTCCTGATGTTGTTCTCCATCTGATACGCTTTATAATAGAGATACTGCCTTCTGTGTTTCCTGATGGAAATCTGGGTTCTGTTTGATCATTTTGTTTAACCGTATGGCTTAAACACAACAAATTACGTTTGGGTTTGGATGTGTAATGCTGTTGTAAGTCTCCGTCCTTGTTAACTGTAAGGAAAGGTTGTGTATTATTAATAGTAATGTGTAATAATTTGCATATGGATTTTACTGTAGGTGCCTAATAAATTCACATTTTAGTATTTGTGTATCGACTCTACTTGATTTTAACGTGTTTAGTAAGATGTAGACCTTACGATTTCTTGGAACCGCTTTAATTTGTAACAAATGTTTTTCAGCTCCCTTGGAAGTCGCTGACTAGCATCATTGAGTATTATTACATGTGGAAAACCACTGACAGATACGTGCAGCAGGTAATTTAATGTTTCAGTCTGCCATGTTCTTAAAAAACCCTGAACTTGTTAAAGCATAAAAATCTTAAAAATAAATATGGTGGGAGGCCTAGAGTAATATTTTAGGCTATAGACCAGTGGTTTTTGCTGTTTGCAGAGTGAATTGTCAAATCCTCTGATGCCTCCTGTACATAATATAGCTGTGAAGTTATGTGTATTTTGTGCTGGTTTGCAGCAATGTGATCCCTGGTTCTTACTGCAGTGTGGGGTAAGAAGGAAAGGGGCTGCAGAGCAAATGCTTTAGGCTGTGAAGTTGTGCATGGGACTGAAGGAAAAGGAAAAATATATTGTGTTAAAGTGACTGCTAATGTTACAAACCTTGTATTGGTACTCCATGATTAAACATTACTTTGGCATTACCAGGATTTAAAAACAAAATTGAGAGCATTCTGCACACTGTGCATGTGTTCATCTTTCTGAATGAATGTTCAATTTTTTGGGTTGTTCTGGAGCAGAAACACGATGAGACTATATTGGGTACCAACATTGGGATATTTTAAGCAGGTTTAGGCGAAAGTTCAGTGCTGGTGCTTTTTATATATTGCACTCTTTTATATATTTACTCCTTGGTTTAGGTATATAAAATATTTTTAGATACTCTATTTTAATTTGTGATCTAAGGTTTAAGTTTGTAGCTCCTTTACTTGCTGCGTGATTAGTGGTGATGCTGTGTACAGCGCAAAGAAAATAATTTTTGTGCTGTAGTGGTTACAGCTGTATTGTTAGGTGGATCTTTGGGATTCTTCCAGATTTTGTTACAGTGTGTCAGAAGGATGATTGCTTCCTGTTTTTGTGGTTTATTTGAAAGTGTTTCTACATAATCTTGTTAGGGTATGGAAAGTAAGTGAAAAGTCTTTTACTATGTACTAGAGTCTTGGACTATCACTTGGACCTTTTAGTTCTATGGATAATACAAATAGAAAATAATGTGCTGTATATAAGGGCATGTTTTTCTGGGTTTGTCACCATTCATTTCACTTTTAACACTTTTTTTTACACTGTAAATCTTTATCCTCGAAAGGTATTGCCAGCAGAGATCTGCTGTGCTGTTTGTCAGCTCTTAAGGATTGGGAATGGACGATCTTGAAGAATCAAATAAAAAGATTTTATTGATACTGAAAGCCATGGAGTTAAAGATAAATTGATGTGCAAATTGACTTTCATCAACACTCTTATGTTGCTCAGAGACTGATCTTGTTTCCTGTGAAATTTTTCTGAAGTACTTGATCCAGAGTGGTTGGCAAAAGACTAGGACTCCCTTTCTAAAGTTCTCCAAGTTCTCTAGGGCTTTATTATGATTCTTTTGCTACAACGATCAAGGCGTGTGATGGTGTGTTGAGTTTGTGTATCCTTTTGCAGGATTAGATTTTTAGCGTCACATATAATACAATCACATGGGCTTTATGGTTATTTACGACTTGAATGTTCTTATAAATGCCTGTGTTTTACTTGTAACTAAGCAAACTTGCAACATCTGAACTCAGAACATGGCAATACACCACAGGATTGAATGCTTTAGACATGTTCTTTCGGGGTCATGCATATCATCATCAATAACAAAATCACTGTAGGCCAAATACCTTGTTTTTATCCTGGTTAACGTTTCTGCAGACCTTCCTAACAAGAGATCAAAACTTCATCCTGCCCTTGTTTATTTTGTTCTGGAATGGTAAAAATAATACAGTTCAGGAAAAATGGTATCTGTAGGGTTTTTTTACCCACAAGAGCAAGCTGTGATAATTGAGTGCATTTCAGGGAGAAAATACATTCAGTAAGACAGTGGCAATTTCAGGGTCATTCTTTAAATATCATGCTTAAGGGGTAGGGCAGCTTGGGGGAAGGGAAAGACAGAAAGGTCGATGCATATACTTGAATCTTATGTATAAAATAGTCTGAATTCTACATCAGTGTGATTTAATATGAAAATTTACTCTTTGATTATCTTTATTTCTTTGTATGAATTGGCTGCATTGTGTCAGGCATAAGAAACATTTCCTTGTCATAATTGCTACTGAATGTTATTCTTCCTTGGTAGCTAAAGGTGATTTAACGGCATGGAGATACTGCTGCCACCTTGCCTTCGGAGCATGTTCCCTTCAAGTCAAGATCAAGGGAAATAGATGTGTTAAAGTTCTCGGTCTGTGCTGAACCTGTCCAGCAAACCTAATTCAGGCCTTGGGTAATCATTCTTGGTGATACGGCACTTTTCATGACCACCACTTTATCTAGTGTTTGAGGAAGGCCAGGTGGCTGCTTCCACTGAATGAAATGTGTTCTCACTATTTGTGGTTTTCTCCTTAAAAATCTGATTCAACGCAAAAAGACTTTTACTGAGACTGCAACAGAAAAAGGGAGAACATATGTAAGGGTAAATAAATTACTGTACTACAACAATATATTACATTTCCACTGTTGAAAACAGTACTGACGTAGGGTAATGGTCATTTCTTGGGATATTTGTCAGTTGATATTCATAACAAAAGTTCTCAAAGAAGTAACATTCAGTTTCAAGGGCAGTTGATTAAAAGTATTAGAGCCTAGGTGAAAAGCTGGGTTAGTGTAGCTTGACCTCCCCTGCAATGCAATCTGTAAGACTTGTTTGAAATAGTTACTGTTTAAGGTCAGATGTAAATTTTATATTTTTTCCAGGAAAAGCATCGGGTCTCTTTGTTACGTTGCTCCAGGGATTTATTACCGTTATTGTTACAAACTGGTGCTTTGTTTCTTGTCTAAACCTTTTCAATTTCAACTTCCAGCCTTTACAGTTTACCAGTTTTCTTCCTCTAAAATTCAAGAGGCAGAGGTTTCATCTCAGGAATTGCAGCTATTTGTTGATAGCTTGCTGTCTGCATCCTTTCTTCTCTCTTGGTGCTTAAAAGGTGATAGGTCAGTGTGAATTCAAGCTGTGACATATTTTGTTGATTTTTAGAGCGCAGTGTTAACCATAGTTTTAGTGCATAAAAATATAGCTTATACTGAAATGGCATTGTGTGATTATTTTGTAGAAGGCAGTATATCATTCATTTCAGTAAATAAAAGAGGAAAGCAATTGCTGAAAGTGCATTCCTTACAACCCCCTTGCCAGTACTAAAAGTATGCTAAAATTTAATTGATGCCTGTAGTCACTTCTCACTGACACTGCCATCAGGGATTAATACAGCTTCCTACAAATGCCTTTACATTTTGACAGTGCTTCAAGGCTTCTTCCCTCATTTTTTTCCCTTTGTTGTGTTTTCTTCCTTTGCTCTGATCATCTTGCTAGATGTACAGTGAGATTTATTTGTTCTTTTTGTAGAATGGGACCGGTTTGTTAAGAACATCTGTGGAACGTGTGTGTTACCTGCAGGCCTGCAGTCTCACACGCTTTTTCAGTTTGAAAAGAAGTTCTGTACTGTTGGGTGTAATGTGAAAAGGAAAAAGAGACAGTTGTGGAAAGCCTGTGGCTTGAAGCTGTTAAGCGGAAAAAGTTCACCGTGGAGAGCTGCTCTGCTGGGGCTGTGAAATGTTCTCAGATTAAAAACTCAGTTTATGAGACTTGGAGCTTGCTGCTGCTGCTGTTCTTCCTCCTCGCTCTTGTAAAAACTGCCTTAAGCAGGCAGAGCATACGGTGTTTGCGATTCTGCTGTGGGCCTGTTGAAGGCAGGGCAGTGTTGCCCAGTGCAGCTGCACTAGGTGTATCAATGGAGGTCACTTCTGTAGCTCCGAATGCAGCTAGCCATCTGAACGGCAAAAACCTGTTAAAAAAAACCAGAGCCTGTCTTGGAAATAAATGGAAAAGGGCTCTCATTGCGTGAGAATTAATTCATGGTGGCACGGAGCTGCTTGGGAGTCTGTTTGTCATAGATTGCTCCTCAAAGATGTAGTTTTTATAAATAAGAGTTACAATGATGGAGGGCACAGAGGCAACTTTCTGAAATGCAAAAGAGCAGCGGATTACATGAGGAGGGTTACTCAGGCTACGCGACCGGTAAAGCTGATTCACCCTGTAACTTGCCTCATGGCTCAGGCAAGAGGCTGTCAGAGCAGAGTCTTTTGATGATACTTTTCTGAAGGTGGGAAATACCTTCCTGGATTGTGAACCTTGCAAAGATTGGATATCAGAAAATAGGACTACAGCAGAGAAGAGAATTGGCTGTTCTAAGAGAAATGGATGACTGAATTTTAAACGCCTGATAAAGGGGAAATCTTGAGATGCAGACAGGCAGTGTTGATTTATTATTGCTGGATATCAGCGTCCCTCCTGCTTTTTTTCCTACTCTGTAATAAAATTGACTTGGTTTCAACTTTCTTTCTACTTTTTTTTTTTTTTTTTCAAGTGAACAGAAGTAATACCTTGAATACAGGAAGACCAGGGAAATAATCTTTTTTCCTTCATCTCTTACGTACAGACAAATGTTTCAGATAACCAGTAGACATCTGAACTCTGTATTTCTTGTGCCATTGCTGAAAAAATTGTCATTTTAATTACACGTATAGTATATGGCAATAACTAAAACTTCTCAACGTTTTGGAAGTTAGTAATAATACCTTGAGTGTAACGTGTTTTGAGTTTTGTTGCAAGTATGAAGAAAGTAATAATTTAGTAAATTCACAGGCTATCTTGATAGTAGTGTAGCTGTCCTGCTGCTGCTGTGTTCCTGAGCTACAGTTTTAATGGCACTTAACAGTAGATGTTTAGTTATTTCTAACAGTCCAGTGGACTTTACTGTTCCACTTCCTTATACTGCTTATAAAATACTAGCTTCAGGCTTGACAGAGCACACAAGAAGTGTTGAGTTACGTGACTGATGAGGAACACATCACGTGCAATTTCACTCCTGTTTTCTGCTTATTCTGCATTGAGAGTTAGCCACAATGTTGTACGTGTTCATGTCGATGTAATTTATATAAATCGTAATTGTAGTTTTTACGGTTTTGTTGTCATATGTGAGGCCTGTGAGTTTTACTGGGGAGGACAGTATACTATAATTTCAAACTAATAATAAAACTAGAGAACTAGTTTTTCATGGTGTTCATCTTGAAGATTTCTACACTTGTTGTGGAGGCGTTTGTAGAATCACAAAATAGAAATGAAATATGGATTGTGTGCAGTTTTATGAAATCTTGTACTTGAATATAATACTTTATTGTGTTAATTTTTCAACTAGAAACGTCTGAAAGCAGCTGAAGCAGAAAGTAAATTGAAACAAGTATACATCCCCACCTAGTGAGTATAACAATAAAGTCACTTTTCAAAATAATGTTGGGGTGAAATCGAAACAGTAACATGCAGTTACATGCAGTAACGTGCATGATATTTTCTTAGTTATCCTTTTAATAGTTACTTTCTTGGTATTTGTTATATACAAACAGACTATACAGAGACAGAATCAGAAAATGCCATAAACTCTTGTCATAAGCGAAACCTCCGTACTTAACTGAGCCCTTTGTCTTTGACCTGCAAACTGCCTGTTTTGGAACGGTGAGAAGTTTTACAAAAGGTGATCAAGTGCTATGTAGACTCCTCAAGAAGGGCCTTATTGTTTAAAAAGAAGTTTTTCCAAAATAATTACTTGCAAATCCAAAGTAGCATAACACTTCCGATTTGTGTAAATGCAATATTTCAAAATAGAAGCCGTTTCTAATGTAGTTCCATGAAATCAGCTATTTTCCCATTACAGTTTTCTCTTGTTGACATAGTCTGTTCTTCAGCTACAGACAAGAGATGTTCTGGCTGTAAATGAAAGGTAGCACACGGCCCAAAATCTTTTATCTTTGAACAAGTCTTGTTAATGAAATCTGTTTTCATCCGAGGGGTTTTTAATCTTTTTTTTTTATTATTTATTTAAACTCGATGCTATATCTGCTTTTGTTAACATGTAGTTTACAGAAACCAGATATCATCTGTCTCTTTCATATTCATAATTTCCTCAAGATTATGAGAAGAGAAAGGATTACAGATTATGTTCTTTTAAGCTTTCTGTGGGTATATTCAGTTTATTACATACACGTGAATTTCCCATTGTTATGAGTGTTTGTATAACAGAAGACTATAAAACCAAATGAAATACTTTGAAAATCCATTGTTATCTTTTTGATGACTTGCATGAATTGCATACAATAGAGCTTCATTTCCATATTTCATACAGACTTTTCTCTCTTAAACAGATTTAATAATACAAGCAGCAGACTCTTAAACTCAGACTTTTAATCTCATCTCTGAAGAAATGTTGAGAGTTTTGAAGCTCAAGTCTCTAATAAATGACGCCTTTTAAAAAAGCTGAAAACTCTAGTATGAGTGTTCTCTAACCCTCTCAGGGAAGTGGCTGCTTTAGGAAAACTGTAAGATGCTCAGTCTTTACGTAATGCTTTTTCAATTTAACTTCCTTGGTCCGTGTGGGCAATTCAGGACTTTTGCCAATAAGTTCACAGCAGGGAGTAGTTGACAAAACCTGTTTTGAAATGTAGGATTTTTACCTTTTTTTATCTTCCTTAATTTCTGTCTTTTGGCTCCATGTCAAGATAAAATCCATAGTCAATGGTAAGAAGGTAGGACCTCTGAACTCTTTGAGGACCGTGCAATCTGGGGCACTCGTGGGCAGATGGATTGCTTAACACTCTGTTTCAAGCCTGATTTGTTGTATCTAAAGTCTGCGTAGAATTGATTCTCAAAGCTGAATACCTTTTTGAGCTTGATCGTAAGGTATTTCCTGTAAATGCAAGGTTCTGTTCTCAATAACCAGAGTCCCTTTCAATTCATGGTTTCTCTAGAAGGTATCCAAGCAACAGATCATAATGTGGGAGACCATAATCTTTTGATAACTTTCTCTTGTACCTTCAGCCCAAGGTACTTCTCTTGAAAACGCTTGATAAAGAGGATCTGGAAATTGTTAAAGAGTCGTTCACTGGATGCAGTGAAAAAGGAGAAGGCAGCAGACTTGCTGGCATTTGGAGTAGAGACTTGATAGAGCAAAGGTTTCTTCAATTAGTCATTTTAAGTAATCTTGGATGTGTTTTATGCTACCTAAAGTAACGAATAATCGTCTTAGGAATCAAGGTATCCAGCCTTTCATTATATTGTGAGTGTAACTTGTCAAAGGGGTAATTAACACCCACAAAGCTGGAGCTCTGGAAATACTGTCCTTAACCTAGTGAAGAGGTTATTAATTCTCTCTGAATTAACTGACCTGCAAAGTCCTACTTCACTGAGGTATTAATAGGTAAAATAATCACATAATAATATAATATAATAATATAACAAAAAAAGAATAATCCAAAAGCAGATCTTCAGCCTTCTCAAAGAGAAAGTAGTTTAGGGCAGAACCCAGACAGAGCAGCCTGATACCATATGGTCGAGCTTTGCCAGGTTTATAGGACATTCCCATTTACTGCAGTTGGTGGGAAGGTATGTACTTCTGGGGCAGCAGGCCCTCTTACAGGGCGGACAGCCTTGTAGTATTACAGGCACTGTTACTACTCTTACTTGTTATACCTCACCCCAAAGTCCAGCCTCACCTTGTAAAGCCTTATCTGCTGACTGGATTCTCCTTCTTAAATTCTGTGCTGTGTCAGGCTTTTGTTAATGCTTGACCCTGAGACCTGGTCTTTTACTAGCTTGCCAGGTAGCTTAGACCGTGTGAGAGCATTTTACAAAGATCTGTTTCTAAATGAGTATCAAACCAGCTCTTTACATAGCGAGACTCTTGCAGTGGTGAAATTACTAGAGGAGTATAAAAGTTAGTCTAGTTTAGAGCAGTTTTACAGATGTTGTCATCACACATCAGAATTCCAGAATTAGAGTGTTTGTTTTCATGTTGACTAACTGGTTGGTAAAACTTTTTTTTTTTTTTTTTTTTTCCCCTTAAATGTAAAGCAATAAACCAAATCCCAATCAAATATCCAGCAACAATGGGAAACCTGCTGCAGTCAATGGAGCAATGGGAGCCTCTTACCAGGCACAGGCCTCACTAATAGGTCGGGCTTGTGAAAGTTGCTACAGTAAGTAAATTTTTTTAAAATGAATAATAATAATATGTTTAATATTACTTTTAAATTTTAATATGCACTTTTAAAAAACAAATGTATGTCCTTTAGGTTGCATTATGTAAATAGAGGGTAATTTTCAATGAACTGTTTGGCAGAAATAAATTAAAACTAACTTCAACATGTTGATTGAGCATCAATATTCAAATTCACTTTATGATTTTTTAAAATTCAGCAAGTACAGAAAGGTAAAGTAGTATAATATGATGGCGCTGATATGTTTTTCCTTTACCTTCAGAATACTAGATTCAAATTTATTTTTGGTTCTCCTGTAAGCAGGGCTTTTTGAGTTGTTTGGGGTCCTGCCCCAACTTCTGTTGTTGTTGTGAGGGTGTTGTTTTCTAGTATTTTGTGTGTTTCTGATGGTCCCTGGTGGATGACTTCAAGTAGCATCCTTCACCATAGGTTATATGAGGGAAGATGTAATAAAATCCAGAACTGAAAAGAACTGAAAAGGCCTACTGTATGAGAGTTCTTTACTTATCATTGCTATGGCTCCCTCTGTCTTAAACATCAATTAAATTAAAATTATATTCTCTATGTAGAAAGTTCCAGTTATATACTTTGTTGTTTTTCAAATCACATTTTTAAAAGAGTAATTTTCTTGCTAAAGATTACAAAAAGAAAAGAAAAAAGGTTAAATTAGTGTTTCCTGCT